AAAACTTCATCAGCCTGCTTCATCATCTAAAAAAGGATAGATGTAAAAAGAACAGCACAACCAACTGATATAGAACTTCAGATACAATATAGCAACCCAATGATACCATCACTGAGGTATATAGAGTATTAATCAATACGAAATGTATAAAGTGATAGCTGAAGATAAAAATTGGCAAGTATGTAAGTAACTGGATTCAAGCACCTGTAGGTGTTTGTAAGAGTGCGCTTGTGTGTGTAAGGCTTATCCATGGGAAAAATCCTCAATAGTGGTTGTGAAGAGCCAAAGACCAGCTCAAGTAAGACACCGATGGTAACGGTAGAAAAAAAGGTTAAAAAAAACAACATTACAAGAAAGAGCAAGAGGAGTGCTGCAGTTCTGTGTTTTAGCCACCGGTGGCAGTATCATTCAAAACTCTGTGTGTGCCTCTTTAATGTTTCATAACAAATATTTGAATCATATTAAAGTTTACCAGGTTAATGTAATTTAGTCCTACATTTAAGAAATAACCAGCCAGGGCTCTTGAGAGGCAAAATGACTTAGAGATTGTAGCAAATGTCAAAGATCTCCTCAAATATTTTATTTTTTTAACCTTATGTAATAAAGCATGTTATTATTTTTTTTCCATTTGTAGGAGAAATATACAAATACATTGATCATTTTTAGCTTTATCTGTTTTGTTACTAAAGGGCCGACAGATCAGATACTTAAAAATCTATATCAAAGTGCTAAATACAAAGTGCTTACCACACTCGCAAGAAGAAGAAAAAAGGACTTTGATACTCAAGTAAAAAGGAAATAATATCTGGTATTTTCATCATGGTGTTAAAAAAACCATTGAAAAGGGAAATATTTGCTGAGAAAAGATTGGGATTCATTAAGGCTGTGAGAGACAGAGATAATTTAATTAAATTACAAAGAGGTAAAACATGTTACTGCAACATGTTGCTCTGCTCTTTCTAACCTTTAATTGTCATTCAACTTGTAGAATTTATGGAAATGCAAGAGAATTCTGGAAATATCAGTTCAGCAGAGGATTTACATTTTCCGGAGGAAATGTAGATTCTTTTAGGATTATTTGATTAATGTACACAGATACTACATGGTTTGAAGCTGCATCTTCTGCCAACAGAAGTGATTAAAGCCTGTTCAAGGCAGGTAGAAAAACACAAGCAAATACAATAAGAATATCAGCAACCAATGTGTATTTTTTAAATAACCAACCTCTGAATAAAAAAATCAAAAGAGAAGTATTGAAGGATTATAAATATACATACCTCTGGAGCTCCAGCGACATTTAGCTGAATCATCCCTTTCCTGTCCTTTTCCTCCAAAGCGGAGTATTGGATTGACTGGACTTGGTTAAAATTAGCTAAGTGTGTTGGCTGAGGAATCACAGAGAAACACACAGGCTTCATCAGTAGAATGTAAAGGGAAATAAAATTGCAAAAATTAAGCATGGCTGGTGTTTGGAGGGTAAATCTTTCCCCTTTTCACCCTAACATGACAGAAAACCAGCAGAAAAAAAAAAAGAATCAGATGAAGTGAAAGTTCTGAGGCTTAAAGCTGAACCCCAGACTCTATGAGGACTGAAATCATCTAAAACACGTCACCCTGAACTAATCAGCAGACTTTAGCCAAATGTATAAACCAAACACAACATAAGGCCGTCAGGTTTCCTGGACCCCTTCAAACACAACAGATCAGCTTTCTTTAAAAGGTTGTGCTCCCACTTTAGAAACAGTACCTTCACCTAAACAAGTGCAATGAAATCCTTCTGTGATCACTGTTCACTTAGTACACGTTTGCATTTGCCTGGCATTTCCATCACAGTGCTGCTTGATGAGTGAGTAGTATAAGTAACAGTAGAGGTGAGGGAGAGGCTAAGTCATCATCAATAATAATCAGGCCTCTCAGGAAGCAGGGAAGCTCTTCAATGTTTTATAGAAACTGGATCCTTTGAGATAACACAACCATTAGGGGTTTCATATTAGGATTATTATCAAAATGAGAGACACAGGACATAAAGAGAAACACAATATAAGGCTATCCAGTCTTCAGGATGGGAATGTAACCTAAAAAGCTCAAATCTTTTAGCTTTAGAATGATCAAGAGGTAGAATCTTAGGCAGTTATAAATCTAAAATGGACACCATCAAAGTGCCGAATATGTTCAGATTAAAGTGAGAGAAAATAATAAACCAGCTCTGCTGGTCTACCGATGTCTCAGCAGTCCGACGTTAAACTGCAGGAGGAGCAAAGCGATTGTGAAATATTAAGATGCTGCTTCACAAGATTTGTTATCCCCACCTCAAAATATCTCACGTCCCAGCACTCCCTTCCAACCAATGGAGTTTAATACAGAGGACTTTCTTAAAGATGAGACTTAAAACCTCTAGAAAAAATGCAGCCATAGTGATTTTTGGTTTAAGAACTGCGTATCAAGCTCACATCTTTCTCCTTTAACTTATTCTTGTTCATTAAGTACAGAGACAATTTTACCAAGAGTTAAAGAGACTCAAAAAATGTGGTTAAAGCAGACTTCGTTAAACCACTAGAGGGCAGCACAACACATAGTGATCATGGACCTCCCTTTAGGAGCGTTATGTATATGATAATTCAAGTTCAGAGAAATGATATATGTTAAATGTATAAAGAGACACATGAATGCATACTCACAGTTGAGCCCTTATCTGTGAGGTAGCTGATTCCTTCCTCTGGTCCTATTGCCAGCTCTACTGATATTACCCAACTAGACTAAAGAGGGGAGGAAAATACAGACATTAAAACCGTTATAATTGTTTTTATATCACTAATATTGAGTTTAAACACATTTTAGGTGTCAAGCTTCAATCATCTTTGATTAATTTAATCTCTATAGTTCTTTGGTCATTTCTCTGAGACTCAGGTACAAACAGAACATAAAATACAACAAAAATAATCATTTCGTTTTCATTCTAATATGACATTTCCTCAATTGCTACAGGTTAAGATCAATATAATCGAGAAAAAAAAAAATCAGCATTCAACTGCTAAATTAGGATTACAGACGAAGCAGTGGAATAGATTTATACTTTCAAACTTTTAACAGATATATCCCATACATCTTCTGCCTAATGGATGAAGTGCATCATGATCTGTATAGGAGCTGAGAGCCTTACCCCTAAAGCGCATTTAAAGCACTCCTTGTCAAAGGGGTAGATGGGAGTGATTATCTCAAAGAACTTGTGGATGCTCTGCTCATCGTTGAGGTTAGCAAACTGTTTAAACGTCTGCTGGATCTGCTTACGAAGGGTCTTTGCCTGATGAAGAGCAGGAAGACAGAGATAAAGAAGAACATAAGAGGCTGAAGACTTTCTTGAAGGTTGGTTCAGAGCCAAGAAAAGAACAACGCACAATTGAGAGCACAATCTGTGAGTGACAACAGCAGGTTTAACTTAATTCCACACAATCAGATAAGCAGGCATTTGCCAGAAATCCTTAGAGTCATCAGGTCGGTTCTGCTGGCAGACGACCTAACAGCCCATCAGCTGTAATTCTAGCTGCACCTCGGGTCATTGGTAATATTTAAAATGATCATATCTGAAGGATTTTCTCTCACCTTTAAGGAGTCCAACAGGCTTTTAGGGAAGAACCTTCTCAAACCCACATCTTTTCTAAAATTAATTAAAAAAAAAGTTAACATTTAAAAATCACACGCAATAAAAAAGAATGGAAACTAACAGGTGTGAGGTACAAGAAAAAGCTTACTCTAGTAGCTCATAGTTTGATTTCTTATCAAGAGCATTGCCCGGCATCTCTCTAAAGAACCTCCTGCAAAATTCACAGAAAGAAACAAATAAGACATGAGATGCTAGATACATATAGCTTTGAAATTGAATGAGAACTGAGATCTGCTGCTGCTTTTTCTGTTGTGCTTTATGTTCTTGTTCTTTGTTTAAAATAATGCTAATTTAATTAGATGTTTTGATATGGTGGGAATTTTCGTTGAAACTTGCACGTTTAATTTGTTACATAGATTTATTATTTGGGATTAAATGAATGAAAGAAACCAGATAAGCATTTTACTTCAGGTTATTTAGTTTCAAAAACAAATTATGTAAGCATATATTTGAAAAAGAAAGCATTATTTAGATAGGCAAGAACTTGCTTACGTAAATGTATCCAAAACTTAGTGTGTATTAATATTTACTGCATATGTTGCCTGTAACTTCTGTCTAAAGCATAATGAATAAATAAGAATAATTAAAAAATATATATGTATTAATAATAATGTGACTTTAAAGTATCATTGGTATAATGTTTTAAGTCACAAAAACAACAGTTTAATTCTAAATTAAACAACCAAAAGTGTTTCAAATTTATTTGAAACAAAGCTCTTTATTACACTGGATGGAATTATAGCATAAAGACCAAGGGAAAAGTTTAAAGCATGGTTAAGTTATAGAGCTCTGTATCTATCACAAAATGAAACTACAGCTAAATACAACTTAAAAACTGACCAAGACATTCTAATTCATCTACAGTGACTGGCCGGGTAAGGAGAGCTATAAGAGATCAGAGATGCAGCCGACAGATCCGTGCATACCTTGTTGCTGCAGAGATCATCAACGGAAAAGCCATGCTTTAGCTAAGAAGTTCAAATTGCTTGACTTTGTGGGACTCAAACATCTCCCTACACGTTCTCACCTTATTTCTAAACAGCCTAGTTTCAGTGCAACATCTTGATCCACATGGTCGGCTAAATGTTGCATATAATCACTTTTCACCTACAAAAAAAACAAACAAAAAACAGGTGTGAACAGTCAAACAGGATAACACATCAGTCCAAGGTCTGTTTAATATTCAGAAATATTGTGCATGCTTTCAGGAAACGATCAATTTGTGTTCTCACCTGGTGATAGAGGTAGTTGAGAGAAGGTTTGTCTTCAGAGAAATGGCTAAGATAACCTTTAGGAAAGTATCGTATCCGGAGCTCATACCTGGAAGGGACAGAGAGAGTGTGAGAGTGTGGTAGAGGGTTTGATAGGACGGTCCTAATGGGTGAAAAAAGACTGTATCTTGCTGCATCCCTTCATAAGATTGGCTGCCTGCCAACAAAGAGCAGTTAAACAGAGCCTTATAGCTTAACAACAGAGCCTCTTCCACTCAGCACATTATATCTGGTGCCACGATGGAAGGATACACTGATCTGCTGTTAAATCAATCATCTAAAACCGATAAAGGAGTAATATCATAAACCATAATGGGGCTCCTGCAGTTACACTCGCCCAGAGCTGGTTCGCAGAAGTGCCCACATGGGTCATTGCTGTTTAGAGCGAGATGTTTGCTCAAGAATGACACGTTACAGGGAAGTAGGTCAGGAGAGTTACAAACCAGAAGTTAGATAACAAAGGAAATCAAGCCCTCTGACAAAAATGAATAAATTATAATGCTCTATTATGAATGAATCCTAAGGAAAATAATAATGTGCAACTGGAAGAAGGAAAAAAAAAACATCATAGGATGACTAAAGAGGTTTTGAAAAAAATTCAAAGAGATTAAATCATGCAAAAGGGCTGGAAAGAAGTGAGAGTCAGTCCATCCATCCCCAGGGCAACTGCAACTGCTGTTCTAACAATAGCTTGGCAGCAGCAGAAGCTCCTGTGGGCTCGAAGCTCTGCTGCCCTCTGAGGCACACGCTGCCTGCCTGCAACAACTGGCAGAGATCTACCACCTTATCTAAGCTGTTCCTGTTGAATTAATTTCAATTTCTATGACTTCAAACCCTGGACAAAAGGCTGCAATTTAAGGAGGACTGTAAAAACATCCACTGGGAACGGTTCAAAGCCTGAGAAGCTGAATGCAGACTGAAGCATGGTGAACATGGTGTGCTCTGAATGTTAAAAAGGAATTATTTTCAAATAGAAAAAGGATTTTAACCAACTATTCTGGTCAGGTGGGAGGATTTGGATTGGAAATGAGTAGAGATTAACAGAAATAATGTAATATGTTAAGCCATAACTACTGCATGAAAACAATGTATGGGGCCCTGTGAGGGTACTGATGCAACTTGACCTCTTCTTGTCCCATTCAATCAGAAACTTTAATGTAATTTCGTGCAATTTTATACGATTGATCAACAAAATTGAGAACAAAACTATAAAGAGAAAGGAAAATAATACCTTTTTATTTTATTTTTTATTGTATTTTTTTAACAAACAAAATAAAAAGTTTGGAATAATATTAACTTTATTATTCCTGAGAACTAGAACCATTTCTGACATAATTATAGCTTAAGGTGTTTTGCAGTTTGTGCCTTTTCTTTACAAAGAGCTTAAACTGAGCAAGGTTGGATATTGAGCACATAGGAATGAAAGTTTCCAAGTCTTGCCTCAGATTATCAATTGGGCTTAAGTCTTAAATTTAACTTGGCTGTTTTAAACATGAAGAATATTCCATCTATACCAAGGCAAAGTAGCTACCTTGTTTTCAGGGTTTAGACAGGAATAAGTAACTCTAATTTAATGCTTTTTTTAATGCTCTTTAATCCAAAATCTTTCGTCATCTTTACCATTAAAAGGCTGCAGCCATGTCCCGAATTTCCACGTTTTCCAGACCCTTTAGTTGAAATTTGCATTTTCCCATTCTCTAGCTTTTTCTCCGTCTTGAGCTTCTTTTACAAAAACACTGCTTTACGATCAAACATTTATATCTGATATATCTGAGGAAAATAAAGCATTTTTAAATGCCATGATAATCACATTTAATGAATTTTAATGCCAATTAAGGCCTTAATTTAAAAAGGAATAATTTAATGACTTTTAATGATTTAAAAAGGAACCCTGGATTTAAAGGGCACCTTTTCAAGATGCTGTGTTTGTGAATGATGTTACCTAGAATTAATTAGGGTGACATTTTTAGATTATTCATTAGGCAATATCTGCTTATTGTTCATCAATTTGTTGTAGATAAACATCATGCAAAGTTCCTAACCGACCAGAGGTTTGGCCCTGCTTTGACAATGAGACACTATCCATTACTTTAAATGATCGTAATCGAGGGAGGAACAGAATTGAAGGAATTAACAGGAAGCAACAGAAAGTGTGTCGATCTCTAACTTACCGCCACTCTTCTTGTGGATGCTGCTTCTCGTACCTCTCCCTGACATGGGACACGCCCAGGTCTGGATGTAACCAGTGGAGCGCGTCAGAGTGCAGATGGGTCAAACGGAGGCCCAAAGAGGACACACAGCGTAACTTATGGATCTCTGCTATCTTCTGGATAACACCCTGTCAAAGCAATTCAAATACCAAACAATTAAATAAGCAATAAAATACTAAGTAACTGAAAATGTGTCTGTAAAGAAGTTTGTGCGCCTCTTACTCTGACATCTGTCGCATCTCCATGCCTGATGTTACTTGCCCAGGTGCTTGGTTCATTGTTTGTCTCAAAGTAATGGAAGATTTTAAGTACACGGTCCATGGACCCTGGAGGCCGCTCCAGACCTCCAGCAGAACCACTGGTGCCGGGAGCTCCAGGCATCCCAGGCCGGGATTTAACCCCACAACCACCCGCTGCTGAATGATTGAGGCTGGGCTCCAGGTAGGAAGACGATGCCATGCCTGACTCGGACGGTCCTGCTGGGGCTAACTGGCCGTCATATTCTGGAACAAGATGAGCAGTCAAGACATGAGGACAGTCCAAATAATCCATGTGAGTCTAGCTCTGATCTGAGAGACAAATAAGTGTAATTAAAACATGTATCTTTTGGTTATAAAACTATTAACCAACTGAGATGACACGGTGCAAAAAAGCTCACTACTTCTATGCTTTTTAAGCCATAATGACATAATCAGTAAGATATAAAAAAGAATAAAAACCTAACAAATCCAAGCATGAAGGTGAATGCAGACCCCAAACAATCAATATCAAGAGCAAAATCCCTCCCACTCAGGCCTTGTTGCTCTCACAGTCCTTCAGATTCACAACAGTCTTAAGTACCTTGGAGATTTCTAAGAGGTGACTGCCTCTAATATTGATCAAATACTTCCTCTGTACAATTGTCCCCTCTTTGAGTTAGTCTAATGCATAAAAGCCAAATAAAATACAACAAATCTTTAGGCTGTATAGTGAAAAAAATGGGAAAAAGTAACATTACATGCTTTCCTGGTGAAGAAATTATATGCAGAAAAAGAAGGAGTATCTACATTTTAATTTTAAACAGAGCCATGTTCTGCAGTGCTAACTTGTAATCAGAGAAACGCTAATTAGACATTAACATCCACCCTGACATCCTAAACAGTCATTGTTCCCTAAAGGGAGCAAACAAAGCAGCAGTGGTTCCCCACACCTGCTGCTGTATTTCTGAACAGCGATTCTTCACCAGATAAACCAGAACTATAATCCTCTGTGTCTTCTGGATATCAAACCTGTTTGTGCGTGGCACTTCCACAAGTGTTTCAGTAGATGTAAAAAGTAAAAGCCGAGAAATTTACGTTCAAAATCGTTTCCATATGGTAAAAAAACAACTCCTAGAATCAAAGATGTAAGTTAATTCAGCAGGGCTAACAGGATGAATTCTCTTTATCATTCAGAAATATTCTATCATCTTTTTCTTCATGGTTTTTTTACTGGACATCCATACTGGATCTGACGGGTCATCATCCAACCAGGAGCTTATTTCAGCTGACTGTGAAGTTAAAGTTCTGGTTCACAACTAAGGACAGAAGAAAACCAAATCCAATTGTTTGATAAGTGACCTCCTTCTACATAGTCACCATCAGTACATGAAGGTAATTCTTTTATAAATGAATTACTAATTTTTAATCCGAAGCCAAATCCTCTCCAGAAACTATGAACCTGTGAACAGAAGAGCCTGGAGCAACCCAATCCCTGGGACCAAATCACTGTGGTCAGCTTTTTTTTCTTCTGCGCTAGGGTCACGGCCAGATTACTTCCTGCTGAAACAGAGGTCCAAAAATATGACCCAGCGTAGGTTGATTCAGCATTTTCAGCAGTGTGGCTGTCAGCCGCCACTGTGAAGGGATATGCACAACGATGGCAAAAGAAAAGAGGACATCACTTGTCTTGTGTCTGCTGGCCTTACTGGTTCAGCCCGCTCTGACAAAACTACGCTGCATCCAAATCATATCTGCATGGACCTCATTATACATAACTTGTGTCCACAAAGAGGTAATTGAAGTTAGTTCTCCTTTAAGTATTGTATTTGTATTGTTTCCTTTGTCTCATGAATCAGTTATTTTCTAGTAGTATTTGCAAAGTGCAGACTTTAACGTTCAAGAAATGTGAAACTAGAGAAAGGGGAATGTGTTTTAGAACGAAGTTTGGCACTGAGGACCGTTTAAAGTGCACTGTTAGTCAGAGCCTTTAATGCAGCTGGGAGCCACAGAGATCAGTGAATCAGTCACAAGCTCTTCAGACACTCCAGGATTTAATGAAACAGATTAGTACAGATCAAATTCAACAAATGAGTTCTTATGGGGTTACTAAGATCATCCAATTAAAAGTATATCAAACAACAAAAAAGATAAGTTGTTAAGGCATTTGAGACAGGAGACTCTTACAGAACAGCGCATAGAAAGTCCTCAAAGTCGATGTTTTTTTCAAATTGACTATACGGCTATACTTTTGTCCTTTTTTCTAGGCTATCTGATGTATCCTACACCCTCTGGCAACTTTAATAGGTAGACCTACTCGACTGCGTGTTAACACAAATATAACAAAAGGAACAACCAATAATATGGCAGTAATCTATTTTCTTTTTTAGATGCAGTAAAGATAGTTCTAGGCCAATTTATTTTCAGAAAAATACAATGCTACTGACAAATGACCAGATTATTATCATATTTCATCAACTGAATAAAAGAAAAACATTTTCAGGGTCACTAAGTCACTAAGCTAAATTACCGTATTTTCCAGACTATTAGTGCACCTAGCTATAAGCTGAGCCCACTAAATTTTTTGAAAAAATTGGAAACGTACATTCATAAGCCACACCGGGCTATAAGCCGCTGATATCTACTAAACTGTCTCCTGCCACACCTATAGGGGGAGCTCTACATATAGCCCCTATAGTAGGACTAAGGAAGAGTGTTAGCTCCTGTTAGCTTGTTGGCTCGCTGCAGTAAGAGCTTCTAATGAAAGATTGGGCTTTGACGGCTATTTATTTTAGCTCTGCAGGAGTTGAGCCTGGTCTCTTCATTGGTTTGGCAGCTTTAATGAGGCAAATAAATGGCAAAATGTGTAAATTCAGGACATTTTCGTGCCTGCTGCTAGCATGTTCTTGTGCTAAATGAAAATTCTGCTAACATGTTCTTGTGCTAAATGAAAATTAGCCCCTAATTTTGTCCTTTCCAACTTTGACTTCCCCCCTCTGGCCGTTAGCAAAAATCGATAGAAAAGCCGCACTTTCTTATAAGTTGCACGATTCAAAGTGTGGGAGGAAAAAAGTAGCGGCGTTTAGTCAAGAAAACACAGTAGTTGAAAAGTAGTTTCTTAATCCTCAGTGTCATAAAAGCTCCTCCTGCATCTTTCATGGGTTGTTTCTATGCTACCAAAGTGTTTCAACATATATTAGGGTATCATTTTAACTGTCATTAATGAAAGAGAAAAATGTGCTAGATGTGCAATAGACCAATGTTTCCAAACTGGTCCAAATCTGCTGGGGGCACACATTAAACACATTAATAAAGTACAAAAACTAGGGCTGCAACTAACCATTATTTTGTCATCCCTTAAGTTGCAGATTAGTTTTTCAATCAATCTGAAAGCGAAAAATTCCTTAAAGAAGTTACTAAATCTCTTCCACATGATAAGTTCTCGGTGGAATATAGTGACAGATAAGAACTTTTTTTTTTTTCTCTTAAATGCAAAATAAACTTTTCAAAACTATTTCTTTTATAATTACTGCTCTAAGTTGGTTGCTCTGTCAGCTAAAGTCATGTTGTAAGAGTCCATGCTCCAGGTCATCAATTCATTCGATTACTAAATTAGTTTTTCATTCATTTCAAAATTTTCATTTATTTCAAAGCTTGATTAATCACAATCCAATTAATTGTTTCAGAACTAACAAAAACATTTACATCTAACCACAACATTCGTTCTACTAACTCCTACACCTACATTTCCAAGGATGCATATCTCCAGTTCATGCAGCACCGCGAGCAAATATACTCAGTATTTGGTTAAAGCATTTTATAGAACATTCAAAGTAAAAATGTTATGTTTTGTTTGTTACTCAAGAGAACAGCATGACTGTTAAAAAAATAATACTATAAAACTAGAGATGTTCTAGCTTTTATTGCCTAGTGTTGTCGTTGAGATATGACCTGATATTTCAGAATTTCTGTAAATAAAGATGATTTTCTTATGGAAGTCATTTTCCTTATCAATGGCAAATCATACTTTGATCTTGATCACTGCATTATTGTTGTATTCATGATTGCCTAAAACTTCAACTACACAATGAATGACATTTTTAACTACTTTAACTTGAACAAATATCTAGTCAAACTACTGAACTGGATTCAAACACACACTCCTTATACCCACAATGATTGAAATCAAGTCAAAAAGGGTCCTGCAGGCTGCTGGCAGAGCCATCGCTCCCCCTTACAGGGGTTTTACTGATAGCCAGCCAGTTGGGCCACAGCGGGCTGAGGATGAACTCTGCTCCACACCAGCAGCACAGGGAGGGTTCATGTTATCAGCCTTACAGGGAACTGGGTTACTGCTGAAAGGTCACTTCAGTGGAAGGTAATGCTTCTGTCTGCTTTCTTTGCATCTCCCTCATCATTTTCCTTTTTGTCATTTCTCAGCCCAATGAGGACTTTTCCCGCTCCATCAATCCTCATTCATTCTCTAACTCTTCTTTTAGAAAATTCTTTCATTGTTCACAGACCCACAGTCATTTGATCGTCCTCCGACTGAATGACTTCTCTTCCATCCTGCCCCTAATTTTTCTTCCATCTTCAAAAACTTCTTTATACCTTCACAACCAGACACACACACACACACACACACACCTCACCGTTCTGGAGGAAGCACATCATGTACACCAGAGCACCAGGAAGAACAGGTTCAAAAGTCAAAGACTAGCTATACATCAATGCAAGTGAATAAAAGAGTATGCATGCCTCTGATGCAAGAAGGTTCCTATCCATATACTTTTGTAGTTGGGTAATAAACTACAGAATCTTATTGTGCTTGAATGAAAAAGACCCAGTACCTAGATAAGCTAAATAACCTGACAACCAATCCTCGTACAAAGAGGTGCAGAGAGAATCTAAATGAAATTTAGCCTCATGTATAAAAGCTGCTCATGCAGTGCTTCAATGGACCTTTGGGAGATACTTCAAAGTTTTTCATCAGCTCTGCATCCAGAGCTCATTTATCATAAATGCTGACAGCTGCAGTCACAGAGGACTGAATTTCTAGGCTTTCTAGCACATCGAGTTTACCAAAAAATAATCATAAAACTCATGCAAATATTCTACATACAACTAGGACAATAAGTGGACTACCAGTAAGAAGGATGCATTGAAGGAATAAGTATAAATGGATTATATTTCTTTTGAAAAATATGTAAAAGAAAAGCTGCTTTGTTGGTATAATATTGTGTTCTATCTGAAAAATTGGAAGTTGT